GTTTGAACGAAATCCATCCATAAATGCTTGATATTTGATGATTTTTTAGCACAAAAATGGCCACCATTTGGCCATTTTGAATAGGATCGTCAAACCAATATATCTGTCTATCTATGACATGATGTATAATGAATATTTAAAATTTGAACATAATCAGTGAAAGCAAGTCAGAGATAAGGCACGAGAACCACATTCATTAAAACAAAATGGCTGCCAGTCAGCCATTTTTAATCTTATCTGAAAAACAAAATTATTTGCATCAAGGTCCCATAATGTCTAATGTATATACCAAGTTTGAACAAAATCCATCTGTAAACAGCCGAGAAATGTTTGATTTTTAGGATTTTTTAGCACAAAAATGGCCGCCTTTCGGCCATCTTGAATCAGATCGTAAAACAAAATGATGTGCATCAAGGTCCAACAATGTCTAATGTATATACCAAGTTTGAACAAAATCCATCTGTAAACAGCCGAGAAATGCTTGATTTTGATGATTTTTAGCACAAAAATGAATGCCATTCAGCCATCTTGAATCAGATTGTAAAACAAAATGATGTGCATCAAGGTCCTATAATGTCTAATGTATATACGAAGTTTGAACAAAATCCATCTGTAAACAGTCGAGAAATGCTTGATTTTGATGATTTTTAGCACAAAAATGACCGCCATTCGGCCATCTTGAATCAGATCAAGAAACAAGTTGACGGGCATATGTATAGTATCATGTATGATGTATGTGTGAAGTTTGATTGTGATTTGTCCAGGCATTTCTAAGATAAAGGTCCGGACGCACGCACAGACGCACGCACGCATGGACACACAAAGGTCAAAACATAAGTCCCCGTTTTCGGACTGCGTCCGAACGGGGACTAATTAAAGTAGAATAATCCAATCTTGACCAAAGCTGTAATTGTATTAATTATACTTTTTTTTTTGACAAGTAAACTCTGACATGTTTCACACAACATTGGATGAAATGATCATTTACAGTGTGCAGACAATTTAAACATGTGTTCGATGGGGGGGAGGGGGTGATTTCAATTACTGTTCAGAATTGTTACATTTATTACATTTATTTCACACTTGCAAAACTTCATTTACTGAAGGGAGGAGAGGAGGAGGAGGAGGGAGAGGGTGAATTTTAACAAAGTGATTACATTTGCATATGTGAAATATCCACAGTCACTTACCTGGTCTGTTTCTGGTGGCTTAACAAAGTAGGGGACTTTTCCTCTCTGCCAATCATTCAGAACCATCTTGGCTACAGTATTTATAGCAGGCTCTCCACCCTAATAAAATAAACAATTATTAAATATATATCACATTTGTATTGTGATAGAACTTGAATGTGTGTTATGAAGACACAGAACAAAATTCTCACTGCTCCCTTATTATTTATTATTTTCTTATTTATTCCTGAACTCCACAATGTTTTCAATCACATTTTTGATGCTACATTTTGCACATTTTAATGTTCATAATTTCTTTTGTTAGTTTTGAACTAGATGAAAATAATTTACCACTGACTGAATATTGTTGAAAAATTGTGGTGATTTATATTGTGTTCAAATACATTTTAGTGAATAAGAATACAACCAATGTTACCATTGTCTCTGCTATGTTTTATTCATAGTTGTGTAGATGTTATATGAATTTCAACAGAAATCACATATTTGAGACTCCTGTATATGGCTTAATTATTTTCGTTATTTTTACTTATATCATTGACAATGACTTTTTGTCTTATTTCTGCCACAGTCGTGTTGTTAATTAAATTGAGTTGGTTTGTATTGTTTCATGACGTGTCTGTTTCAGTACACCCACAGCTATTTGGACTGTTGAGAAGATAGAACCTTTCTTTCAACACTGTTTAGCAGTTAAAATTATTGAATGGTCAACTTTGAATAATAGTCACTGACACCCTGAACAGTGCCAGTTTTTTTCATATAAATGGATAACTGGTGTGCCCAAGATAAAAACGCTATTAAAACAATCCATTTGTCAAGCAATGAAAAGAACAAGATGACGTTAGTTCAATTACCTTCAATAATTTTCCAGTTTTCCTCGCCATCTGTTCTAAGAAATCTTCATCATCCTTCCACTGTGCAATATTATACGTTCTCTGAATGTATTCCGGTTTGACTCGCTCCAGTACGGCACCAACATAGTCCTCTGGGTTCTTCACGTTCTCAACCCTTACCTGATATGCATGAAAGAACTATTAATTGAAGTCTATCTATCTTTTACTTCACGTTCTGGAAACATTGTGCCTTTATACTAGTCTAAGATTAATATTAACATAAACTACGGCCACCAGTCGGCTATTTTGAGTGGGCTCAAATAGTATTCATGTACGCCATCAAGGTATGATTTTGTGCCAATTTTTAATGAAATAAGTAAAGTAGGTTTGAGTCTGGAAATAATCTTCTCAGATGTTATCCAAGTGGACCTTCACATTCACATTGTTTAACCTTTTCACCACCAGACTTTCTCACTCAAATTTTTTGGTACTTTTTTTCTTATACATGCATTCTTCAATATTTCTGGAAATGAACCCTAATTTTGGAGCCAACAGACAAAATTTGAGTCGATTTTCAGTTTTTACTCAAAAAATTTGGCTATTTTTGTCACCATCTTCTGAAGTACTAAAAACAGAACTACGGTATTTTGTGAATTTGTGCTGAAAAGTGGGAACTGGTAGTGAAAAGGATATTATTAATATTTAATTCATTCAAACTGTCCTACTGTTTTAGATGCAGTAGTATTTTGCGGTATTCAATCCATACCACACAATATCTTTTAAACCAGTGTTAATTTTTTACTTGGATGTTATTATTTTTGGTCAAAAAATAACAACCAAACACAGAGAGCAACTACAAACGCACATACATGTACAATGTTCCTGCAATCTTTACCAGTGTTAACTACATTGTAGTAACACACATGATTATTATCAACAATGACAATGTTTCAGCTTTTCCACAAAAATAACACAACAAGTACATGTCTTGAATCATGCACACTGTGCTTATCACCACTGTCACAGGTCGCAACTCTATACCTTTCTAGATTGTCTACATTAGTGATTTGCTTGCTTGCTCATATAGTTATATTTTATAATAAAGAGGTCAAATGTGACAAATATCAGAGACATGTGGTTTTACGCAACACAGTATTGCCTTTTTTCTTTTGTGCTACAAGCTAAAAAACATATCACCACTGCCTTCCTACAATATCAAGCTTTATCTCTGATATTATCCGTGAATCTATAAATATCTTTTTATGTTATTTTCTTCTCAGTGAATGTAAATATGTATTATAAATACACATGTACACAAAAACTCACCACGCCTTTCAAAACAAGCTCGGTCTCCGTCTCCCCTGTTGGGTACACCACACCGGGACAATCTATTAAAAATATTCGTCTCATCAAGGTAATATACTGCCAGACTTTGGTCTCTCCAGCAATGGGGGCTACTTTGCAGACTTTCTTTGCACGCAATGTATTAATGACGGAACTCTTACCGACATTTGGATAACCAATGAAACCAACACTGATCTGTTTCTTGTCCAGATGTAGCTGTGAGAAAATTAATTGGAATCATGGGATATGTAATCTCTAATCTAGCTGGATTATTAATTCATCCAATGAATGATGTACTATGAGATGACATTATTTATTGTTGGCACATTCCATTTAGCAATCAGTATAGGGGTGTACCCCCTCTCCCCCACCCAAAGTAGAATGTACTGTAAAACATGTTGAAACAGCTCAATCTTAGCAAATTTTCTGTAATATGTGAATTATCAGAATCTTAAAATGAAAACAATCTTATTGACTACTGTATAAAGGCCATTTATTTTTACTGGCATTTATTTTCACTGTTTTGATGTTTTGAGTAATATTACTGGGTTTTAAGTTCAAGAACTTGTCAGGGAAACAATGAGTTCTATTGTTATTCTATATGATCACATAGATTTAATTTAGCAGATATTCCCTTATAGACAAAATACCGAAATTAAAAAGTCATTGTCAATGACACGTCCCCGTTCCGTTCATATTTGAGTGACATATACATTCAAAGCAGATCATGACCGAAATGCACCTGCATATGTACAACACATTGTGCTAAATCTGAACAAAATCCATCCATGCATGACTGAGATCCGGTTCTGGAATTGTGAAAATACGTGATTTTGATGCATTTTCGGCCTTAAAATGGCCATCATTTCGCTATTGTTAAGCAGATCATGAAACAAAGGCACATATCTATTTGTGACATGATGTACCA